TTATAAGGTGGCAGTAAACAAAAATATATTGGAGGCATTGACCTTTAATGTCTCTGCATGGTCATTATCCTTTTACCACAAACTTATCTGCCTTCTCTAAAATAAACTGTATTTGAGATCTCTCCAGGGTCACCTTGCAATGTAAAATGTATTTATTTAAGATGGAATTTAGACCCTAGTGACCTTCAGAAAATCATTACCTTCATTCTGGCTAGCATCCCAGGAATATTGGTATTCCATAATGACACTATTATGAATGACCCTGCTACAGCTGTTCTAAGTACCCCCCTCCATTAGTCTCCTTAGGTACTTTTCTCTAGAAATGATCATGACCTATACATCTATATACTTTTTCTTGGATTACCGAAGGACCCAACAGAGTTGCCCATTGAGCAGTACTATTAACTTTCTTCCAAGTAGTTAATATATTGTATAGCTGTGTTCATTTTTATAGATCACTTAAAGAGTACTGTATAGAGAGATTGTGTAAAGCAGTGACTCTCAAACTTTAATATTCATCCAATTCCCCTGAAGGGCTTGTTAAAACACAGATTACAGGGACTCCGAATCTTTGATTCACTAAGAATAGAGTGGGGTCTGAGACTTTGTATTTCTAAGTTCCCAGATAATGATGATGTTGTTGGGTGGAGAACCTCTCACTTTTGAGAAGCATGAGTCTACGACACTGACAGAGTCTAAGACACTGTACCACACAGGACAGAGATAGATCAGACCTCAAGAATCTTGTGGTCTAGTAGGGAAAATATGATATTTACATATGTCACATACCATTGTGTCCTTAGAGGTGAACAGATAGGGTAAATGGAAAAAAGGAAAGGCAGACATAGCTTTCAGTCTGTGAGACTAGGGAGCTTTTGTGGTGGAAATGGCAAGTGGCTGGGCCTTGAGATATGAGTAGAATTTAGAAATGCAAACTGTAGGATGAAAGGGAAAAAATATTCAAGAACATAAATGAGATAATACCATTATCACACCTAAAAACATTAACATTCATTGATGAATGTATTTAAAAGCTGTAAAAGAAATCCTCATTTTTGATATTTATGAGACAATTTAAAAATTGTACCTAGAATGGTCAGATTCATAGAGACAGAAAGTAGAATGGTGGTTGCCAGGGTGTGAGGGGAGGAAAGACAGATTCGTTATTTGATGGGCAAAGTTTTTAATAAAAAGAGTTCTGGAGATGAATAGTGGTGATGGTGCCATAACGCTGTGAATACACTTAACATCCCTTTACTGTACACTTAAAATTGGTTAAGATGGTAAATTTTATGTTATGAGTGTCTTACCATAATAAAAATAACCTGGATATTTTTCTTACTATATTGAATGTTTTCTGAGTGCTTGGGAGATGTAGTCTTTTTTTCTTCTAAAGCTCTGATATCCTTCATCTTTTGTTTTTAATTTTAACACTTTCATTGAGTTACAATTTATATACTATGAACTTCCTCATTCTAAATGTATAATTCCATGATTTTTAATGTATTTATAGAGTTGCCAGTAATTGACACAAACCAGTTTCAGAACATCTCCAGTACCCCAGAAAGTCTCTTCATGCACTTTGGCAGTCAGTGCCTGGGTCTGCTCCCAGCCCCATGCAAAAACTGAACTGCTTTCTGTGTCTGGGAATCTGCCTTTTCTGGTTATTTTATGTAAATAAAATCATAGTATATGTAGTCTTTTTCACCTGGCTTCTTTCACTTAGCATAATGTTTTTGAATAGTTTTTCATGAATAAATGCTTCTTAGTTTACTGTAATCTGTTAGTCAATTTCCAGGTCACTTAAATGGTTGTTTTTGATAATTTGGTCCAGTTTTATAGTTTCTTTTTGGGGTATAAAATTTGGTGACTTCCTTCTACCACACAGATCCAAACCGTATCAGACCTCCGACATAGTGGTGGGAGGTGATTGGATCATGAGGGTGGATTTCTTATGAATGGTTTAGTACCATCCTCTTGGTACTGTCCTTGCAACAGTGAGTGAGCTCTGATGAGATCTGGTCATTTAAAAGTGTGTGGCACCTCCCCCTCCCCCTGATCTTTCTTGCTCCTGCTTTGGCACATGAAGTACCTTCTCCCCATTTGCCTTCTGCCATGATTGGAAGCTTCCTGAAACCTCCCTAGAAGCAGAGCTGCTCTTCTTCCTGTACAGCTTGCAGAACCATGAGCCAATTAAACCTCTTTTCCTTATAAATTACCCAGTCTCAGGTATTTCTTTATAGCAATGTGAGAACAGACTGATACAAGGTCCCAGCCCTTCCTTCCTTCATTTTATTTTATTTTTTTAATTTTGGGAAGGAGATGAAAGAGTCCAGGTGTAACCTGGCATTGACTCCACTTTGGATACTGTACTTTATAGCAACTGTCAGAAAACTTACTTTCTTAAATCATCTATTGCAATGTTTGACATAGGCCATTCAGAAATCTAGAAGATTGAAAGTTTCTGTTCGAGAATCTTTTCATTTTCAATATTGTAGGTCCTCAACCTGGAATCTGCAAGAAGAGACTCCTCCTTTGAATTCATAGTAACTTTTGTCATTTCTGATTTTCTCAGTGAATGGATGTTGAAAGTGTAAATGTGAATGTCAGCATAAATGTGAATGTCATAAAGAGAAACTTATACTTAAAGGTGGGGAACTTATAGTCTCAACCATGGCATTACTCATGATCATTTCTATCCTTAGCTCTGCCCCGAAAATGCAAAGTATCTACCCAGCAAGCGTATGTGCAATAGAGGACAATGATCTTTTATCCTTATACCCCATTATCCTTCACCCATCGTAGAAAGAATTAAGTTTTCAGGGGAGGAGCAATAGAGCTTTCAGTCTGAGCAAGACTATAACCACCATCTAGAAACACCTCCAGCCTGGGAACATGTGGCATCTTTCTATTCCCCACCCTGCAGAAACCTAAGCCTGGGTCACAGACTGTATATCCCAGAGAAGGCAGTGCTCAGCTCAGTACATGGCACAAAATAGAAACTCAATAAACTCTGGTTGAGTTGAAATGAAAGTCACGTAATATGTTGGTGGTGGTGATGGTGGAGTTGTGTGAATAATAATGGGTCGGTGGGTCTGTTTTCCCCTTCTTAATGCTGAGAAAGCTGGAGGCCCTATTCTGTGTACTGAGCAGAAAGAAGAGCTGGTTGTCTCTAGCTATCCTTGGGGATACGAGAGAAATTATTCAGCCAGTCTTTCAGAAATGAAAATTTTGTTTCTTTCTTTTTTTTTTTTTTTCTTTTTGAGACGGAGTCTCGCTCTGTCGCCCAGTCTGGAGTGCAGTGGCCAGATCTCAGCTCACTGCAAGCTCCGCTTCCAAGGTTCCCGCCATTCTCCTGCCTCAGCCTCCCGAGTAGCTGGGACTACAGGCACCCGCCACCTCGCCCGGCTAGTTTTTTGCATTTTTTAGTAGAGACGGGGTTTCGCTGTGTTAGCCAGAATGGTCTCGATCTCCTGACCTCGTGATCCACCCGTCTCGGCCTCCCAAAGTGCTGGGATTACAAGCTTGAGCCACCGCGCCCGGCCAGAAATGAAAATTTTGACAAATGGCAAAGAAACTTCTTCCTCACATCCTGACTGGGGAGGAGCACTCAAAGAATAAAAAACAATAGACAGCCTGAGGCTGCCCTAATAACCACACATTGGTAGGGCAATCACCCGTCTTAGCTGAAGACCCAAAGAGAGCAAGAATCTTCACTAAACAGTCTGATAAAGACCAGTGTAAAAACTTAGTGAGGAATTCATCAACATGATATCAACTCAGCCCCCTTCCATGAATCTTCTTAAGTACTGTCTTCACTAATGTGGTACTGTGGAAACCCTAAAAATGAGTACCAGCACTCAATCAGCTAAAGTTCTGAGAGGCTCGATTCATAAAATTTTGCTTTAAGGTAAATAGTATCAGATATATAAAATCAGAAGTTCTTGGGAAAATACTTGGAAATGAAAGGAGATTTATCGTAGTAAACTGTATGTCTAACTGTATTAATAGCAGTCTCTAGGCTGCAAGGTGACTTTTGGGCATATTGTGAAGTGTTAAATATTCATAATAACTTGTCCTGGTTTCACAGGTCTTAATTTAGTTCTTGGATAAAGAATGGCTAATATCTGGTCCTCTGAGCATGTTGTTTACATATTTATTTCTTGTTGGTGTTTGTATTGTTGATGAAAATGAAAAGAAACTAGTATAGTAACGATCTTTTGGTGTATAACAGATTTTATTTTCACAAACATACCATAGTCTAAGATGAAAATAATAACTTTGACCTCATTATTTTGGCCAGCTTTATTTTCCATTCTTCAGAAAGCGTATTCTCTAGGTTCTTTCCCTAGTTTCTTTCTTCCTCAGCTTTACCAAGAAGGATTCAAATACCGAATCCATGTCACCTTTCAGAGTTTCTGAACAACTCAGACTCCCTGCAGCTTGTCTACTCTGGCAAATCCTAGTTGAATACCTTGTGCCTCATTCCTGTCCTCGAGGAACACAGCAGGTGATTTTGATAGTGCTCTAGTTTCTTCCACTTCTGCAAGATAGTAACATAGTGTTCTATTAGGCCTCAAAAACATTATGTTAGAGAAGCTGGGGGTGTAGAAAAGAAGGAATATTTTTGTAAGCAGTAAAAACCTATTCTGAGGACCACCTGAATGTTCCTGCCCACTCATAATTGAAGTCAACTTTACAAGGTGAATACAAAGAGGATGTATTTCTTGCAAAAGATACGATTAAAGATCAATATATATATTTGTTCCAGAAACCTTTATTTGAAGCCGATGAATGACTTGTTGTGGGCGAGCTCTTCGGATGCTGTTAATACTTTCGGGTCACAGTGGAGACGCTGGTTGTTGTTCAGAAAAGAACTACGAATCCCAGAATGCCCTTTTCCCCCATTTTCCCCGCGAGAATCCAAGGGTGAGTTCAACGAATCCTGTCATGACGAACCTGTGCTATCGGCCAATCAGAAGGCGAACGTGCGCCTGGAGGCGGGTGGCGGGAAGTGCACTAGGTTTGAAATTGGAAAGTTGGCGGGAGCTGAGTCTGGAGCTCGGCTGTTGGCTAGAGTGGGCGCGGATCTGGTGTGGGGAAGGCGAAGGGACTCAGGCCTGCCTGCGAAGGTGAGGGAGGTGGGCGCCGAGCTGGGCTCCTCGGCCCGCCTGTTGCGATAGGGGAAAGTGAGTTTGGAGGCGGAATGTGTGTATTTGCGGCGGCGTTTGTGAAATGCGCATCTTGTTGCTGTTTGGGCCTCACAGCCTAGTGGAGTGGGCAGCTGCGAACCCAAAGCGCTCTGGGTTTCACTGCAGGGATATCTTTTGTCCTCCTGGGAAGGTTTTAGCGTCGCAGAGTACTGGCGGGTCCCGGATTCTCCCAGGACCTCCTTTTACAGAGGATACTGAGGCCCGAGGTGACTTGCACACATCCTGGGCAGAACCCGCTCAACTCCCACCTTAGTCCCTATTTTACTGTTAACTTTTACTGTTCTGAGGTGGAGGAGAGAAACAGGGTAGAGGTGTGGGGTCTTATTCTATGGGAGGGTGCCGGCCACCTGGCGATACTGATGATCTCTGATCAGAAAGGGTTAGAGTTGGAAAAGGTGATTTAGAAGTCAACGGTTTTACTTGTGAGAAAATGGACCCAGGGTCATAGCGCGTGTAAGTGTCCTGTGCAGTTACACTTACCTACTAACAAGCTGCTAGAAGGTAAAGGTATCCTGAATTCTTGCTGCACCGTAACAACAGTTAAGCCCAGGTTGCTTGATCTACCCTTGAATACCTAGAATTAAGGATAAGTTGCTATTTTCTAGCAAAGGACAAATTGCCAAAATACTGTATACCTGATTGGAATATGTGGCTGATTTGATTTCAGTAACTTAAAAAATGCAATGTGTATTCTGTTTTTAGCATTGTCCTACATAATGGTAGAGGATGAACTGGCACTGTTCGATAAAAGCATAAATGAATTTTGGAATAAATTCAAAAGTACGGACACCTCCTGTCAGATGGCGGGACTAAGAGATACCTACAAGGACTCCATCAAAGCATTTGCAGGTACCTAATGTTAACTTGTATCATGCTGTTTTTGCCGTTCTAGTTTATTTTTTAGCATCATTTCAGCTGAATTGAAAATTCAATTTCTCTTTCAGAAAAGCTGTCTGTGAAATTAAAGGAAGAAGAACGAATGGTTGAGATGTTTCTGGAATATCAAAATCGTATGTGAAAAAGTATAAATCATGGGTTTTTTTAGATAATACGTCTTTATCATGAAATCTCATACAAGTAAGACAACATATTTTGTGTGCACAAGTGCGTATATGTTGTGTGTGTGTATATATACATGTTTATATATGTGTATATATATGTGTATATGTATACACACACACATATACATGTGGTGGCTCATGCCTGTAATCCCAACACTTTGGGAGGCCAAGATGGGTGGATCCCTTGAGCTCAGGAGTTCAAGACCAGCCCAAGCAACATGGTGAAACCCCATCTCTACAAAAAATTAAAAAATATATATATATATATATAGAGAGAGAGAGAGACATATACACACACAAAATACATACACATTAACACATATACATGTGCTTATATATAGGAATAAACATTGACATACCATACAACTTAAGAAAGAACATCCTACGTTACACCTTCTTCTCCCACCTTCCACAACTAACCTATCAATATATTGTTTAGTATTATGGAGGTTTTTTGGTTTCTGAGACAGCATCTCACTTTGTCAGCCAGGCTGGAGTGCAGTGGCATGATCTGGGCTCACTTCAGCCTTGACCTCCTGGGCTCAAGTGACACTCCCACTTGAGTGGTTGCTAAGTTGCTGGGACCACCGGTGCATGCCACCACGCCTGGCTAATTTTGTATTTTTTGTAGAGATGGGATTTCACCATGTTGTGTGGGCTGGTCTTAAACTCCTGGGCTCAAGCGGTCTGCCCACCTTGGCCTCCCAAAGTGCTGGGATTTCAGGTGTGAGCCACTGTGCCTGGCCTTTAGTATTGTGTTTTTGAATGTTATATAAATAGCATTCTCTCGTATGTCTTCTGTCCATTTTTTCACTCAGCACTATACTTGTGGGATTTGTCAGTGCCGAGGTATAAATGCCAGTAATTTTTAAAAGATGAGTTTTCACGTTGGAAATCCCAGCCTGGGGATTGCAAAGCTGGAGTTCTCTCAGCTCTGTTAGTACTCTGTCAGTGTTTCTCTCCATAGTTTTACTCCTATTCTTGCCATCTTATTTCTACCACTCTCCAGGTTGTCCAGAGTGAATCAGCAGCTTTTACTGAGACCTGGCAGTTTTTACTGAGTTCTTACACACAGGACACAAACTTGTGTCCACAGTTCAAATTCCACTAGAGATACTCGGTTTAAAGGCATCATGTTTTAAACAATATTAGACTAGAATGTCCTTACATGGGGCATATGTTCTTTCATTTGCAAAATGGGTAGCCTTGACTTACCCACTTCACTTGCTGTGTGACCCATGAAGGTATTTGACTTTGTTACCCGAGTAGATTATTTGCTAGACTTTTACTTTACTCATGTTTACTAGTTTTTTTTTTTTTTTTTTCGAGATGGAGTCTCACTCTGTTGCCCAGGCTGGAGTGCAGTGGCACGATCTCAGCTCACTGCAACCTCTGCCTCCTGGGTTCAATTGATTCTCCTGCCTCAGCCTCCCAAGTAGCTGGGACTACAGGCGTGCACCACCATGCGCGACTTTTTTGTATTTTTAGTAGAGATGGGGTTTCACTGTGTTAGCCAGGATGGTCTCAATCTCCTGACCTCAGGTGATCCGCCCACCTCGGCCTCCCAAAGTGCTGGGATTACAGGCAAGAGCCACCGCACCCGGCCTACCCATGTTTACTTTCTAATCTGCCCTGAAGCTTCCATGCCCTTCACTGCTTCTCTCATTCCCTCTGTAACCATAAGCAAAAAGGAAAACCACTTTTGTTTGCATGTGTGTGAAAGAGTGATATTGAGTTTGAGTTCTTACCTCTTTGTAGGATCCCTAGGCATTAGAAAATTAAGTTTGGAACTGTCAGTTTTACTACTGTGAGTCTCAAAGTGTACTCTTAAAGATTATCTATAGTGTGAAGTTATGCTCTATATAGTCTGAAATCTAAAAGCGTTATCAATATTTTTCTTTTAAAAATCAGTTTATACTTGGCCTGTAATCCCAGGACTTTGGGAGGCTGAGGCGGGTGGATCATGAGGTCAGGAGATCGAGACCATCCTGGCTAACATGGTGAAACCACATCTCTACTAAAAATACAAAAAATTAGCCTGGCGTGGTGGCCGGTGCCTGTAGTCCCAGCTACTCAGGAGGCTGAGGCAGGAGAATGACGTGAACTCAGGAGGCGGAGCTTGCAGTGAGCCCAGATTGTGCCACTGCACTTCAACCTGGGCGACAGAGCGAGACTCCATCTCAAAAAAAAAAAAGAAAAAAATCAGTTTATACTTGAACAGAAATACAATTTACCCAAGTTTAATTAATTCAATGAACATACGACGGCTATTGCCCAGCAGTTAGGAGAAAACAGTGCATAAAGTATAATCTACTCACAATATTGTGGAGGATATAGATGGGGAAACCACAGTTAAAATATATTGTGCCAGGCTCAATGGCTTGAGCCAAAATAATCTCAGCATTTTGGGAGGCCGAGGCAGGAGGATTGCCTGAGCCCAGGAGTTCAAGACCAGCCTGGGCAATATAGTGAGACCTTGTCTTTACAAACATTAAGGAAAAGTTAGCCAGGTGTGGTGGCGGACACCTGTAGTCCCAGCTACTCAGGAGGCTGAGGCAGGAGGATCTCTTGAGCCCAGGAGGTCAAGGTTGCAGTGAGCTGTGATGCCACTACATTCCAGCCTGGGCGACAGAGTGAGACCCTATCTCCAAAAAAAAAAAAAAAAAAAATTGTAATTGTTGTTATAATAATGTAATAGATGCTGTGTGAGGATGAGGATGGAATCTGGAGGGTTTGATTCTTCCAGTGAGGATTGCAGGATATTTAATAGCTAACCATTATCTTGTATACCACGTGCCAGGCCCTGTTCTAAGCTCTTTGCATATATTGACTCATGGATCCTCACAACAACCCTAAGAGGTATAGATATTGCTTTTAGTCTTACATGTTAGACTTTTATGACAAAATAAGCACAGAGAGGTTAAGCAGCTTGCTCAAGGTTAGATAGCTGATAATGAAGAGAAATATGATTCGAACCTACAGTCTGATTATACCACGCTACTTTGGAGGAGATCACATACAGAAGAGTTAGGGATGTTTAACAGAGTCAACACTACATTCTAGGAAGAGGAAACAGCACATGAAATGGGGCAGGAACACGAGAGCTTGTTAGGTTCTGGGATGGCTAGATACACTGTGGATGGGGAGTGGCGGAGAAGTGGCTGGTAGAACTGGTTGGCCAGATGGTGGACATTCCATGTTGGGCAAAGGGGGTTAGACTGTTTTTCAGGAGATAAAGAGTTGCTGCAGGATTTCAACCTGGAAAATGATATTGGATTTTTATTTCAGAAGAAGCAATCTGGTAATCATGCACAATAAACAGGAGGGGAGTGAGACTGTTGTCCATAAAGAGACCAGTTAAAGGAAAAACTTAGTGTAATAGTACAGGCACATAATGAGTATGGCTTGGACCAGTGACAGGTCTGAGGACTTAGACTCAAGACTGTTGGCCTGAAGGTGAGAGTATGTTGTGGTCTAGGATGATTCTTTCTGACATGGAGTATGAATCAGTGGTGATGCATTTACTAAGTGAGGGGTTGAAAGAGAGGAGGAGCATGTTTTTATAGGTGGGAAGGAAACATACAGGGTTCAATTTTAAATGTGTTGGGTGAATATGTTGAGTTTATTGTGCAGCAAGTCTTCAGGTGGCGATATCTGGTAGGCAATGGATATATTCATCTGGAAGCCAGCCAGGAAAGCGGTCTTTGCTGAAGATGGGATTTGTGAGTCTTTAATGAATTTGGGGAGTTGAAGCTATGGAAGAATATGTAGAGTAGAAGAAGGTAGCCTTGGTTAGTAATAATATTTATTTACTCATTACTGTATGCCAGATACTGTGCTAAATGTCTTACATTGACCATCTCCTTCAGTCCTCATGACAGTTGTCCAGGGTTGGTATTATTTATTATTATTATTCCTACTGTACTGATATTACAGTCCCAGAGAGATTATGATTTGATCATCAGGTTAACTCCAGAAGCCTCACTCATCTTGAAAGCCTTACGTTTTCTCTACAGTTTGAGAGAGGGGTAAATGGAAGGGACCAGTAAAGACAGACTTAGTAATTGGAGAACAGAGGAAGTAAGAGAGAAGGTCACTGAAACTAAAAGAGGAGAGAAGCAAGAAAGGGTGTTGTCAACACTGGAAGTCACACGTAGATCCAGTAAGGTAAAGACTGAAATAGATATTATTTTGGGAATAAGAAAGGTGGAGGGAATCTGTTCACTGGCTAAATACTTGTTGAGCTACTGCTCTATACCAGGTAATCTTCTAGGAAGATACTGCAGAGAACAAAATAGCCTAAAGTTCTGGAGCCATAAATTCTAATTATCACAAGAAGGAAGATCATCTGTTGAAGGTGAGAGTCATTTACTATGGGGTGGCTTTTAAGTTAGTATAAACCCTGAAGTCTGTCTAAGACAGAGATTATCCCTGTTTTACAGATGAGGAAATTGAAGCTCACTGAGGTTAAGAAACTTGCCTAAGGTCTGGGGGTAGATAGAGGATCTAAGATTGCAACCATAGTGTCTGTGCTCTTTCCATTGTACCATACTGACCTGCATTGGAGTGAAAACGCAAGGAAGGGTTCCTCTGGCGAGTAGGAGTGAAAGTTTGAAATGTTGGTCCTGGGAATAAGACAACCAAGTGTGTACACATGCAATAATACTCACACAGCAGGCCGGGCGCGGTAGCTCACGCCTGTAATTCCAGCACTATGGGAGGCCAAAGCGGGTGAATCACGAGGTCAAAAGATCAGGACCATCCTGGCCAACATGGTGAAACCCCGTCTCTACTAAAAATACAAAGATTAGGGATAGTGGTGCGCGCCTGTAGTTCCAGCTACTCGGGAGGCTTAGGCAGGAGAATAGCTTGAACCTGGGAGGCAGAGGTTACAGTGAGCCAAGATCATGGCACTACACTGCAGCCTGGAGACAAAGTGAGACTCTGTC